AAGCAGAGGAGGGGGCTTCAGGTTGGGGCTCGGGGGGGTCCCAGCACCCAGCCCTGCCAGGAGCACCCCCGGGTGCCGCCCCCACGCACCCATGTCGTTCAACCAGTATGCGATCTTCTTGTAAACCTCGTCGCAGGCGGAGACGATGACGGCCAGGACGATTTTGGGGAGGAAACGGATGATCCGGGGCAGCTCCTGGATGCTCAGCACGAACTCCTGCAGGGACGGGGATGGGGACGGGGTCAGCGCAGAGGGCGCTGGCAGCCCGGCGCGGGCAGGATGAGGACCCACCTGGAGCTGGAAGCAGCCCAGCATGAGGAGGAAGACAAAGAAGAGGCAGGAGAGGCAGACGGGGAGGCTGACCAGGCACTGGAAGAGCAGGCGCTTCCACGGCGGGTAGTAAAACTCCTCCGCGCTGGTCACGGGGCTGATTCTCTTAATGCCCTGACGGGGAGGGGGGCGGCAGCGTGTGACCCTCCCCACGGTGGGGGGCCCCACGGGATCCCTCCGTGGCCCCAGCACGGGTGGGACCCGGCGCAGACCCCCTCGGGGTGCAGGGGTGGGGGGCGTCACAAAGGTGCCGGTTCTCCACACCGAGCCCGGGTGGCTGGTCGGGGTCGGGGGGAGCTCAGCCGGACCCCAGCCCCGGGGACCCCCCAGGCATGGGAACCCCCTCACCCAGGGCTCACCCTGAACTGGGGCCGGGGCTCCTCGATGGACTCGGCCGGGGTGTCCAGTGTCCCCCACTTGTAGGCAAACTCGGCCCCACGGCGCTTCCACTCCTCGAGGAAGAGGGTGGCCCAGATGACGTTGAAGATGGCGAAGACCACGCAGCAGATGTCCTGGCTGGTCTGCGGGACCGATGGCACCGACTGCACTGGGGACGGTCCCTTCGCATCCCCGACTCCCTCCCGCAGCCCTGGGGCCCCGCACGGTGCTGCCCCAGCCCCACCACTGTGGGCCTGGGAGCCTCCCAGCTCATAGGAATAACAGCATTACAGATCGTCGGCAAAAGCCCGGAGCAAGGAGGGATGGAAACCCCCCCCATGGCCCCCAAACGTGGGGATTTACCCCATTTCCCAACCGCTCTCACCTGGTCGCTCTCGGTGAAGGTGTAGAGGATGGAGCCGAAGACGGCAGGGTACACCATGGCCGAGGTGTAGAAGCCCAGCCAGGCGAAGTACATGGCGATTTTCACCCCGAAGTAGTCGCAGATCTCATCTGCGGGGGCCGAGGGGGGCGTGAGCGGGGCTGGGACCCCCAGACCCCCCCGTGCCACCCCCTCGACACCGTACCGAGCGGCTGGGCCTCGCAGATCGCCTGCACCCAGGACTTCATGAGCCGCTTGAGGATCCTCTGCTCGTGCAGCGGGAAGACCTGCTGGATGACGCCGCGGGCCGCCAGCTCCGGGACTGCGCCGCGGGGCACGGGGTGAGGGACGGGCTGCGGGGACGCTGCCAGCCCACCCCGGCCCCCCCACGCCTGTCCCCAGACGGCCCTGGCACGGTGGGGTTTGGGACAGGGACAACAGAGAGGATGGGTTTGGGGTGACCATGGCACATCGGGGCTCTGTCCCCAACCCCAGGACGGCACAGCCACCATGCACCCACCACCCCGTCTGACACACGGCCCCGGGGATGGGCACACGGGGTGACAGGAGGACCCTCGCTGGGCTTGTGTCCTGCGGGGCCACCACAGCACGGCTCGGGCGCAGGCTGGGCAGAGGGAGCGGGGCAGAGGGGTGCCGTGCCGCGCGGTGCCGCGCCGTGCCGTACTCACTGATGGGCTGCCCCTCGAGGAAGTGGATGTTGTGCAGCGACTCGCCCTGCTTGGCGCGCAGGGTCTCCAGCAGCGCCTCGCCCTGCTTGGCGCGCGGGTTCCCCAGCCAGTACCTGATGATGTTTTGCCGTTCCTGCGGCACCGCAGCAGGGTTGAGCCCCGGGCGATGGTGCCGCTGCCTGGCCCCCGGCCCCTCTCCTGCCACAGCCGCGTCCCCAGCCCTTGGCCCTGTCCTGTCCCCTCCCCGGAGCCGCCTTGTCCCCAGCTTGGGGGATGGCTGGCTCAGTCCCCAGCTGGGCTGGGGCTCCCTGATCCCCTTTTTTGCCTGGGGAGGGGGAGAGGACCTGCCCCCCTGCCCCATGTCCCTGCATCGCGTCCCTGCATCCCCATGTGCCTGCATGCCTAAACCCCTGCCCTGCATCCCCGCATCCCTGCCCTGCACTCCTGCCCTGCATCCCTGCCCCGCATCCCCGCCCCACGTCCCGCATCCCTCCGCGTCCCACCTGAGACGTGAAGAAGTAAAGCTCATTCTCGATGTTCTCGTAGATGTAATCCTCCTCGCAGGAGAAGCTCCGCATGCCTCCACCGAATTCGGCTTTCACCGGCTTTCGCAGCCCGATCTCATCGGCCCCACGCAGCAAACTGCAGGCAGAGGGGACATGGCTGGGGACACGGTGGGGGACGCGGCAGGGGCTGGAGACATGGCTGGGACCCTACCTCTCGTAGGTGGCGGTGACAAAAAAGGCGTAGACGCGGGTGTGCTTGTGGTGCCGGACCTGGACGATGAGCTCCGGGATGCCGAGGCGGATGTGGTTCAGGAGCCAGAGCAGCGTGTGGTCGTCGGTGGTGTCTGGACGGCACCGGTCAGCACCACGGCAGAGACCAGGGCGTCCGCGTCTCCCAGCACAGCCCACCCCGGTCCCCATCCCTCCCCACGTCCCCCGTCCCCGTGGCAGCTCCACGCCGCCATCCCGGTGCTCCACACCGGCACCGTCAGTCCCGGCCCCTGCCCCAGGCACCCCGGGCATCTCCCTACCCGGGAAGGTCATGAGCACGTCGCAGTTCTCAGTGGGCACCGTCTTCATCCAAGCCTTGTGGGACATGATGTAGCGCCCGGCCTGGAGCAGCCGCTTCCCGAAGAGCTTATCTGCCGGAGGAAGGGAGGGAAGGAGGGATGGAGGGAGGGAGAAAGGGGCCTCCCCCCCCCGCGGCGCCGCGAACCAGACCCCGAAGTGCCGACGACTCAGCTGCCAGCGCATGGGATGGGTGCAGGGACCCCCAGCACGTCCCTGGCGGTGGCTGTCCCAGCAGTGGTCATGGCAGCAGGTCATGGCCCCGCTCGTGGTGACGCTGGCCCCGGCTCAGGTTTCTCCTCCGGCAGCTCAGGGTGCCCAAAAAGGCCCCGACAGCTGCCGGGGGGGGGCTGGCAGCCGCTCCCCTCTGCCCACAGCCCCTCGGTGGGGCCGGGATCCGGCAGGGCCGCGGCTCCGGGAGATGGGAAACCGCAGGAAAAATGGGGGGAGCGAAAAAGCAGCCGGTCTCCATGGAAACCCGGGGAGGCCCCGTGCCGCCGCAGCGAGGTGGGATGGGGACGGTCCCCAGCGTCCCCTCGTCACCCCCTGACGGGGGCTGGCGCAGGGACATGGCCCTCGTCCTGCTGCGGGGTGCCCACGCCGTGGGGACGTGCCATCCCTGTGCCCAGCGTCCCCATCGCGCCTCTCAGGGCGGACGGGGACCGGGCGCATCCCAAAATGCTGCCCGGAGCGGGCAGGAAGGGCAGGATGAGGCTCCCCAAAGGTGCTGGGGTGGGTCCCCACCGTGGGACCCCGTTTCTCCCTGCCCCACACCTGCAGCACGCCCAGCCACCTCCGTGCCTCAGTTTCCCCTCCTAAGCCAGGGTGGCAGAGCCAGGACGGGGCGGGCAGGCCGATGCCTGGGGACGTCACGGCCTCTCCGGCTGCCCCAGGGCTGGGAAGGTCCCCGGGCTCCGGAAACGCTGCTCACCCCGGGACCTGCCGGCCCCGAAAAACAGGAAACGCCAAACCTGCTCCGGCAGCTCATCCCGGGGGATGCACCCCGGCTCCCGGCACCTCCTGGGCTGGGGGAGCAGAGCAGGACCCCCCCCCCCCCCCAACCCCCCCGGCGGAGACCGACAAAACCGCCTGACAAACTCATCGCCTGAGCCGCCGCCGGGAAGGGGCCGCGGCGCCGGGCTCTGAAAGGCCGCCCTGTCCTGGCACCGTGGGTGAAAGCCGGAGACGGCGCCAGGCTGCCAGCCAGCCGCCCCCGGAGCGGGCCCGATCCTGCACCCCGGGGCACGTCCCGCATCTCAGGCCCAGCGCTGCCGGGGTGCTGGGGTGGGCACACAGAGCTGGCGGCGGTGGCTCAGCCGCGCTCGCTGCCGGGCAGCTCGCTGACGCCGGCAGGCTGAGCTCACCCACCCTGAATTATTTACACCCTGCCGGGAGCGGTGTCACCCAGGCGGCAGCGCTGGCAGCGGCGCAGGGGCCCAGCCGGCGGGCATGGCCGGGCAGCGGCGCAGGCACTGGCAAAGCCTGCACACGCGTGTGTGCCGGCGTGCAAACCGGGGTGATGCCGGGGGTGGTGGGCGCCCACCCCGAGGCCTCGGCTCCAGGTGCAGGAGGGTTTTTCCTGCCCAAGGTCAAGGGAAAAGACGTGGCCGAGCCGCAGAGGGGTCCCCAGCGCCGCTCCTGCCCCCCCAGCCTGGCTGGGCACGGGGGGCCGGATCCTGCCTTTGCCCCACGCCGGCCACGCGGTGCTTGTCGCCCCGCTGCCAGCGAGAGCGGCCCCCGGCCCCCTCCGGCCCCCAGTGCCGTCACCAAACTGGCACGCGGAGTCCGCCGGCGGCGTGCGGGGATGGAGCCCCACAGCATCCCAGCCCACGCCTGAGACCTGCGTCCCTGCTCGTCCCCGCGGCCACCCGCTCCCCCGGCACGCCGGGGCCGTGCCGCTCACCTTGGCTCTCCGGGATAAGGTCACGGGAGCTGCAGTGTGCCGGGGACCGGCACGTCACTGCCCCGCCGCCGAGCGGAGCCCGTGGCCGCCGGGGAAGGAGGCATTTGGGGGAGCGGCGATGCCGCCTGCCACGGGCAGCCGTGTCCCGGGGGAACACAAAGTGGGTCACCCTCCCGCAGGCAGGAGTCCCGCTCGACGGGCAGCAGGCCCTGCCTGCACTGCCTTGCCCTGGGGACCCCAACCCGCCCCGGCCGTGGCCGTGGGGACGTTACCTGGTCCCGGGGCCACGCGGGGGGGACCCCAACCCCAGCCTGGGGACCCCAACCCAAAGCCCCTGTCCTGCGCCCGCTGCCCAGCTCTGCCCCGGGGGACATGGAGCCGGTCTGGGGGGGACACGGGCCTGTCCTGGGGGGCAAACGGGCCTTCCCGGGGGGCTGCGGGGCCCAGA